TAATATATATATATATATATATATATATATATATATATATATCCATACGTACTCCATTTTTTGGAGGAGACGATTTAAAAATTCTTTAATTCATTAATGAGATCAAGTTTTTAATTTTGTTACATACCATGTTTCTATATTTTAAATAAAAATTTCTAATTCTTGGAGGGGGGAGATAATTAGTATTATCATTTGATTAGCGAGTTATTAAAGAAAAAAAATTTAATTTTGCTATACCGTAAAAAAAATAAAGTCCTGTCCATCGCATTGTAATACCAGCATTTTTTCCTGTTGTTATATTTTGTTTAATATTTTCAGCTTATATGTATATTAAATTTTTATTGCATTTTCTATATTTTTATTAATATGCTCTTCGAAAGGCTAAATTTAGTTTATTGGCGCGCAATATCGAAATCTTCCGCACAAGTGACGTCAAATGAAACGGAAATAGCAGACGGCGCAATCGTCATTTCACTCACGTTGTAAAACCATCATGGCGTCTTCCCGACATCGCGATACGGGCGCAATGCGTTGAGATTCCGGCGATTACAACAAAGTTGCAATTAAGTTATAAAATTGAAAAGTAGAAGTAAAATCATTCCCAATTGACTGCATCAAGCCGTGAGATTACGTAACTGATTCTTAACAGTAAGTGTATAGTGCAATCTCATATACGCATAACATTAAACGTCCGTGAAAACATTTACAATTTTGTCACAAATTATACTGTTTATCTCATGGATAAAAGTATAAAATTATTTAGAAAAAAGTGAATTCAATTTATCGCGATTTCCTTTCATTCTGAAGAGATTGTGGCTTCGAAATAAAAAAAATTAAAAACTCAAGAATTCCCCAGAAACAAATCACATTGCAGATTACATCATTTTGCAGATTACAAAATGCCTGTAGTACCTGGAGGAGCCTATCAACAAGGACCATCTTGCTTTGACAGAATGAAATTAGGCTTCACGATTGGATTTTGTGTGGGGATGGCTTCTGGTGCGCTCTTTGGAGGATTTACTGCTCTTAGGTATCGTAGATAGTAACACAAAAAAAACATACATATACAATTTGGATGTATACGAAATATTTCTATTGCCAGATATGGACTAAGGGGGAGAGAATTGTTAAACAACGTTGGTAAGGTGATGCTTCAAGGTGGTGGTACATTTGGCACATTTATGGCTATTGGAACAGGAATACGATGCTAGTATATGGATGGAGCTATGTTACAGAGTATCTTGCAGCCTGTTTTTTCATTGAAACTGTTTGTATTGTAAGCGCGAGTCACTAAGTCTTTAATAAAGGTAGCATTAAGGAACAAGATTCGTTACCTTCCATGGCGACGACGGTCGTGTCATCCATAGGATTTGTTTTCCCTGGGATATTAAGCCCAAAACTTAAGTGTCTAATTTTGTGCGTCATGTTGAAGCGAGATGAGGTATACGGTTGAACATCGTGTACTGCGCCATTAAAAAACGAGCATATAAAAATATAGTACAAGAGAGTTCTGAAAATCTTTCTTGCGTTGGCTCACCATGAACATGATTGACTGAAAAACTGACACCCGGCGCAATGTGAAAACTTCCACCGACTCTATTCACTTCCATGTAACCATAGATCTGACAGCCCTGTGTGAAGGCATGTTTGATTTTTTCCATGGAATTATCATTCTGACACTGTTTAACATCACTCGAATCCGGTGGCGCCCACTTCTTGCGTCTGTAAGCCTCCCACACATCCTC